GGAGATGGGGTGAGGATAAGCCAAAGAAGCTTGTCTCTCCTCGTCCACCTCACACCAGCTAAAAAACAACCTGGATTCATTTGGTCTGTTTCACTGTGCTGACTTCAACTTTTGTTTTGTTTCTACTGTCCCGATTTAACATAATTCGTAGTTGATTTGTACGTTTCAGCTTGAGAATCTCTGGACTCCTTGATTTGTGTTCCTATTTAAGATCATTTCTAACTTAGTTAGGAAATATAGGGGATATAATTTGACCGCGCAGTTTAGAGGCATAACAGGTAATGTCTCAGGGTAAAACAAGCTCTGGAGTCTTTGTAACGTTCACCAACCGTAATACCGAGTATAAATCCCTAATGAACAGAATACATCAAAGGGAAATGTTGAGAAATTAAAGCTCTCCAACTTTTAACCTACTTTCTTTTGCTGGCGGCGGAGTTTCAGTGATTCCTCCTTCCCTGGCCATGCTGTTTCTCCTCTTCCTCACTTCCTTCTACTCTAATTTTAATCTTCGCTACAATTTGACCAGTGAAGAACTTGCCTGCTTCACTCCCTCCTTCATCCCTCAGTCCTCCTGCTCCTGTAAATGCAACCGGATCCCTCAGTCTGAGCTGCTTTGTGCCCAGTGTGAGCCATCAATCAGCACAGCCTTCCTGTCTCCCAGTGGGCGAGGCAGATGTGTCTTCCTGAATACCACCGAGGCACAACAACGAGGAGGAAGGCAGAGAAAGCGAATACACAACTGGACTACAGAGCTCACAAGCGCTTATTTGTAATATTTGTTTTTATATTTAGAATCAGGAAGGTGAGTGAGGATGAGAAGCTTAGTTTAAGTTCAATAACAGCATTTAATATGCCCCCCCCCTCCCCAAACATAGGCATTGTGACTGAACTTGCAATAACAACGTTTGGCCACCTGGGGCAGCACAAACAACAGTTGATGTGGAATATTTAGTGTTTGGATTTTGTTTATTAATCATTAGCACTTCCATTAGTTTCTGCCTTGGCAACATCTTCCCAGGGTTTGCTGTTATGCTTTGTAAGTAAACAGTATAATCAAAACAATGTCATTAAATTAGGCAACATAATTCATATATTATTAAATTATTAATGATGCTGTTGATGACTTGGCACATTTAAAATGGATTAACTAATAATGCAAGAGAGGTCCGTGATGCAGTGTAGATGTCATTTTATCTTATTAAAAAAAAATGTTTTTTGAAGTGGCCACAGGAGTACGCTACGGTATCAGACACAAGTTTTATAGGACATATAAAAACAAAGCTTTTTCCTTTTTGCTACATAGTAACTGATACTCGCGCTAACGCTAAACAGCATGACGCACAGGTTAACCAGGCTTTGAGCTCGATGTTAAACTGGACAGGTGCTGCTAGCCCTCAGATGCAGCAGGACGCATGTCAGCAATTAAAAATAGTTCAGGATTCATCCATTATTCATTGTTAATGTGGGCATCAGTCGTAGGTTTTACCATTCGAGCAGCAGCAAGCAAACAAACGCCAATAAATCATCCACACACACAGTACCTGCTCAGCAGCAGAGACAGCTAAAGACTGACTACTGAGCGCAGAGGAACACTGAGCTCATCATAAGTCAGATATTTCCATCAGAGGGTAGGAAAGCCCCCCAAACAAAATTAAACCAGAGAGAACAGTGGACCCAAATTTTCTCTGTTTGCTGGACAGCCAAAAAAGAACTCTTGTGCCCCCCTGTGGACACTTTTGACTGTGACCGATACCTGCTGTAGCTTCAGTTTACTTTCTACTAATATCTACTCTTGCGAGAAATTTTTAGTGACTTCAATAAGCCTGTAAGGCAAAGCAACAGCGACTGGCTATGTGGGCCTGCTTTCTAGTAGGGCACTAAAACTCCACCATTAGGCCTTTATTCTTAAAAAAGAGGGGAAATGGGTTTCAAGGCAGTTTAAATGTCCTAATACTGCTAATCACACACACAGCAACACACAGCAGCAGCAGCAGCAGCAACATTAGATCATATTGAGAGCCCTCCTCCACAGCGGGGAGGAGAGAGCCATGAATAAGACATTGAAGCAGTCTGTAACTAGGCCACAATAACCAGAAACAGCCTCTCGTGCATGGCTAACTGCTTCCTACGGTTTTGCGGAGCATGCTGAGCATTGCTTTGATGCTTGTCTTAGCATCACTGACAGGTTAAGATGTAAACATCCAGTATAAGCCATCTCAAAAAGTCTCTGGCTGCTGTTCCACACATCTATTGATTTTTTTATGATTCCCAATAATTCTTAACTTACAGATGAGTTTCTCATTTTCAGTAACATGTTTTTCATTCTCAAAGTCACAGCTGACACAGTAAACTGTATGTGAAAGTTTTTTTGGCAGCTCATGTAGGACAACTTCCAATTTAAGCAGAAATAAGCCTATTCATTGGTCGGTGTCTCACCTGGGGTGGCTTTTAATACAACGGCTACTCACACCAGCATCACCAGGCTAAAAAAAAAGACACTAAATCTTAACATGACAACCTGCCTGTGGTCTTTCACACAGCCCACACTTGCATGTATTTAAGCAACTATCTGGTCTCCTGTCAAAGTAAGTGTCTAAATCTTGACAGAAGGATCTTTTTAGTAGTCAAGCCTCCTGACAAATATGAAATATACCAGAGCTAACAATACCTATTGCAAATGTGGCCTGAGCATGAGGAAGCACACTTATGCTTTGCAATGTCCTCCTGCATGCATCAGTGCCCATGATTTTTTTGTTTTGTCTAAGTAAATCGACTGCACACTAAAATATATTAAATAAAATGGTATGTTATCAGTAAACTAAATTCTACAACAAAAATAACAACACTTTGCCTGTCACCTAACATGGCCATTTGGCGTTACTGCTGCAGGATATTCACGTTATGCCCAAATGAACAGAATCAGCTTTTTGGAGCTGCATCTGAAGTCTCATGATACCAACTTAACCGACCTGCACATAAGCCTTTATGCTTTTTTACCCTAACATGGCTCGCATTTTGTTGCATTTCACCAACATCTATTTCTTCAAAATCAATTTTTATTATTAACAATAGTGACAGCAAAATATTTCTACATACAAAGGGCTACAGTTTTAAAGTCGTTGAAGAGCACGCTGCATAGATATCATATGTACAGCTGTTGAGTTACTCTCTATTTGAATGAATGAATGAATGAATGAATGAATGAATATGCCATGTTGTAGTTCTGTAGTTCTAATACTCTGCTTGAAAGACACAGGGTAACTCGACAGTTCAACTTGAACTTGCAAACTATTTTTATGCAACAGTTTACATTAAAATGAAATATAGTAAAATATGACACGTGTTTCTGGCTTTAATTTATGAAACAAAACGTGTCTCCGTGTCTGTTTCTGAACCACTTCTCTCGCTACCTGACAAACCATCATTGTCCACCACCTGCGCCGCCTGCCTGACAGAGCAGCCTAAAGGGAGGCTCTGCTTTTGGGAAACCCACTGGCAGAAGAAAGGGAAACCCCGTGTAACATCCAGCACATCCCGCTACATTCTATCAACGTCCTTACCGATATATATATTGCAATGTCTCTCATATTATATGCTCTTCATGTGCAATTAGCTCTTATACCCAACTGTGCGAGCAAAATAGGCGTCCTTGAAGTGGCCATGATGAGGCAACTATTAACTCTCCGGAGTATCACAAATTTGCTGTAAGCCCCAGCAGAACGATTGACATAATTAATTAAATTCGTTTAAATGATGACTGGAAAATGTTCCTTAAGAGCAACAGTCTCGCTCCATATGAAAAATATCTGTAGCAAATCAAAGGAATTGATAAATTGGCCTTCATGTACTGGCGCTCCCAGTCAGTCAAAATAAACCAGGAGGGGAGCCTGAAAACAGCAGACAGGGAGAAAAAAAAAGCAAACTAAAAACATTAGCAGCAGTCACACGGTGAGGAGGTGGGTATACTTACTGTCAGAGGCCATGGCTGTGGCTGTTTCCCTTCAGACTACGAGCAGAATTGGATGTATCATCGGAGGAGAGGGGGCAGCAAGCATCCCCGCCGCTCCTCATCCTCCAGACCCGCAGATCTGCAGTCACACAGCGGTGAGCGGTGAGGCGTTCACTGACTGTGGGACATTTGAATAATTTAAATAGTCTATCGGTTATTTGTTTTACAACTCAATATTTTGTGATCTTGTTATTTTATTTTTTATTTTTTTTGGCCAAATAGGTGTAAGTTATAATGACTTATGGCATGGTGGTTAGCACTGTTGCCACACAGCAAGAAGGTCCTGAGTTCA